GTTACATGAATATTCGAGTCGAGTTCGAACATCCCCTCAAACCAGACCTAACCCGACCCGTACGGAGCACTAGTTGATCGAACGTTGGGTTTTGTAAAACTGTTTTGGAAAAAAAAATAAAACATAAGTAATTTCGATATTATTAACTTATGTAGAAAATCCACCATGGATATAAATCCAGAAACTAAGATTTATATTATATTAATGTTCAAATGTTTTTCTCGTAAACTTTTTGAGTTTACGAACGTGGTTCTTTCACATGTGTATTTCAATACGGATAATACGAAAGGTGTAGAGTCGGGTCACTCAAGTGAGTGGTTTAATTGATGTTGATATGATTTACCATACTAAATGTTGATGCTGGTAAATTAGGTTTAGTGTTAGGGAGCTGAATCAATCAAACCACCATACCCAACTCACTTGGGTGGCCCGACTCTACAATTTTAATGAGCATTTCGGTAATATCCCAAACTTGGATATCCCTATTGCGCATTCCGAATTTGGCTATCCGATATGCGCATTTCGGCTAGAGTTCGGATGTACCATTCAGTTTTAAATCCGGTTTTAACCGGTTTTCTAACCACCCGGATTTATGTTACGAAAACCGGTTTGCGTTCAACCGGCTGCGAAGATGATTTCAACCGGATTTGTAAAAACCGATTTGAAAAAGGTCGAACCGGTTGCACCCGTTTTAAATTCGGTTTTCAAAAATGCAACCGGTTCCAAACTCTAATTTCGGCATTTGGGCTAACAAACAAACAAAGAAAAGGCGTACTTTTTTTTACTTTTATTTTTTTTTTTTTTTTATTATGTAACAAATGAAGCTTTAAAAAAAAAAATTTTTTTAATTAAGGCCTTAATTATAATTTAACCGCATAATAAATAAATAAATAAAATAACGCAATGATATCGCTAAATCACAGATAATTTCATATTCCACATACTTTTCTGCACAAATACTAGTTTCAAGTAAGGGCGAAGCGATGGCTTTGTGATCGGGAGTAATTTCTGATCAGTTACCTGTTGAATACTGAATAGATCATCACAACCGCTAGGCTTATTTTAATTTTTTAAATTTCAAAAATTATTAAAAAAGAACCTTAGCAATTTTCTTAAGTAACAATGGAACCAATTTCTTATTCTGAAATCATTCGAATAGAAAAAGAAGTTAACGGCAAAGATTTAATAGAAATATCTCCAAATGCAGAATGTATTGCTAGTTATAATGAAGTAAAAAAGAAAATTGTCGTATGGAATACAAAAGAAGGAAAATTAAAACCAGATGATACGGTTAATCAATTTGATACCAAGAAGAGTATTTCACAAATGTGTGTCTCTGACGAAAAAGTAGTAGCGTTTAGTTATGCCGAACGTACTGCTGATAAATATGATGTACACGAAGATTTGAGTAAGTTACTTATGATTCAAATGAATGTTTTGTTTATTAAATTTTCATAACCTATTTTTTTTTTAATTAGAAATAATTGATTTAAATAATCCGGATCAAGAAATAAAATTACGTATCAAACGTGAAATAATAAGTTATTCTTGTAACTTTAATTCAAAAGGGGCGTTCATCTTTTATACTACTTGTGTAAATATTTATCGCGTGAATGTTGATGTTATTTGGGTTTATTCAACACAAACTAAAGGTAACAAATGGATGTGTTTAAAAATTTACAAGTTACCTAAAGGTACGGAGTTTATCAGTATATCAAGAAATGACAAAATTTTGCTACGTATGGAGAATTACATAAATGAATTTAATATTGAAACTGGTAATACTAAAATTATTTCCAATAACATACTCGGGGTAATTATTTATTTTTTATTTTAAAAAAAAGCTTAGTTTTAGAAATTATAAAAAATACAAATTAATGATCACAAACTTTAACAGGCTGAAACGAAAAATATTAGAATTTCTAGCAATGATAAGTTTACTTTTCTGAAAATAAATGATGAAATTATTGTTTATTCTGATAAACTGGAAATTCCTATTGCGTTATTGGATTCAAATGATGGTATGTTTATTCAAATAAATGTAATAACGTTAATACATTAATACTTATATAAATTCATTTCGTTTTCAGGTCTACGATTTTATAAATTTATGAAACAACATACTGACTTACGCTCTTTGTTACTCTCTTTATTTGATTATAAGTCGAATAATAAAACTTGGATTTCTTGCTTAAATCAAATAACGAAAGATTCGTTATTAAGGAATAATCAACCTTGGAATTCTTTCTTAAATCAATTAACGAAGGATCATTCGCTAGTAAAGAATAATTTACCAATTATATTTTTACAAAACCATCTATATGTATTCGTGAATGGTTCCGTTTTTAAAATTAAATTTGAGTTAGATATCATTCCTTTATCAGAGGAATTAAATATTAATGATGATGCAGAAAATTGGATGGCATATTTTGGTAGCGAAAATGTTGATGAAAAAAAAACCAACAATCCTTATGAATATGAAGATCCGTTTATACCAAATGTGATTATTGATACATCTAAACTTGAATCGCCTAAGAAAGAATCCAACTTGCGGAATATTAATGTAAAGATTTATAAGAAAGTTGAAATAATTGGATTACGTGTATATAGAAAAGTTAATGAGCCTGAGTTGGATTTAATTGATGAATCCTTTCATAAAACCAAATATGAAAAAGTAATTAAAATATATGAAGTCGAGATATTTGAAAATAACGATATCGCCATACTAACTAATATTGGCATTTTTATTTTCCATTTAAGTGAAAATGATAAGATTTCATTAAAATATTTTCATTATAATTATCGACCGGAGCAAAATATAAAAAGTATCGGCAAATTGCTCAGATTAACAAAAAATTCCATGTTTTCGTTCGATAATAAGGAACTAATTAAGGAATGGGTTTCGTATGTAAACAATGATAAAAATCAATTTTTAAAAAATGGACCTGGATTATTAATTTTTGCGATTAAGATGCATGACTTAAAATTAATTTCTGACATTTATAAAAAATGTTTAAATTATTTTAAACAAGATTTAGAAAACAATAAGATGTTCCTGAGTATTATTACTACATCAATGCCATTATTGGAAAAATATTATCCTGAATATCTTACAAGATATTCGTTGGATACAAACATGATAATAGACTCTTTGGATTATAAAATAGAACATAAAGAGTATTCATCTCTTCATCCTTTTACAAAAAATATTAAAGTTGTAAATTTAACGCGGTCTATCTGGTGGTCGGTTCATGTTAACAATTTGTTTGATGTTGATGATGATTTTGTGAATACTATTATGATATTATTTTATGTAATAATCGGATTATTAATCGGATTATTAATGTTTCCTATTTCTGCGTCAATATGTCTTATTTTAGATTATTTTCATTTCATTAATGATATTTATTTTGATTCATTTACTATAGTTTATTATTCTTTTCGTTTCTTACTTGAGTTTATTAAATCCGAAATTCATAAAGAATCAAAACCTACGATTACATTTATCATTCCTTATATTAAATTTGTTAGTTATCCACAAGCTTATAGTTGGTGGAAGGAATTAATTAAACCTCAACCTAGTCCATTTGTTGAGACAATATCTAGAGATATATATAAAACATTGAATGGCGAAGCTTTAATTGATTTCAAGTGGAATTCATATGGAAAATATTATTATGCAATTATATGGATGGGATTTATTGCTTTACTTGGATGCTTTACGGTTGCTGCAACATTTTCTAATAATATTATATCTAATAATATTAGAGAACAACTATTAATTGCCTCAATTATACTTGGATCAATTCACTTAACATTTGAAATTCGTCAATTAATTTATAATACATTCAAATGGATTAATGATATTTGGAACTTTTTTGGTATGTTAAATAGTAAAATTAAAGTGCTTCAAGGATACGGTGTATCATTAACTCTTATTTATTTTTTTATAGATATAGCAGCATATCTTCTTACAATATGTGCCTCTATATATTGGTATCAAACAAATGATAGAAACGTTCAATTGCTTTCTATCACATGTTTATTTTTGGATATTAAATTTTTATTATTTTTTAGAGTATTCGAATCCTTTGGTGTCTATTTTGCGATCATTATTAGTGTTGCAAAACGAATTATCTCTTTCTTGGTGGTCTTGGGAATCATTTTAATTAGTTTTGCACATGCATTTTACATCTTATTATCTTTAGAGGATCCTTGGAATATTACAACCACTTTTACTACTTATGATCAAAAAGGATCAACTGATCCTAATCCATTTATAATTCAAGCCCCTGATGAAAATACAAATATGTTCAGTTATTATGGTACCGCACTCTTTGCAATTTATTTATTTTTAACAGGTAAGTTAATTCTTTTTTGAATTATTATTTAAATAAATTATAGCTGATTCAACTCATTACAGGTGATTCAAGTGCTTTCACCCCATGGCCATATAAAAATAATTCAATGCTTGTCGTATTGATGGTTTTATTCTCTTTCGTGGTTGTCGTATATCTCATGAATTTATTTATCGGGTTACTTAATATTGAGATTGAAAAAGATAACAACAGAGTCTCGTATTTGTTACAAAAAGCGAAGGTATTATATCAACAATTTATAATCTTAATTATTATTATACCTTAAATTCATATTTTCTTAAAAATATATAGATTTTAGCAGAAATTGAGTTAATTTACCTAATTCCACATCAAAGACGTTGGAAATCATGGTTTCCGGAAGTAATGTATGTCCTCTTTTTTAACATTGCCTTTGATCTTTTGTCGCAATAATATTCTTTCAATTTACATCATACGTTCAAATTTGGTAGTCATTACAATGCTGATGTCGATGAAGTGCGTAGAAGGGTTAACGAATTAATTAAGAATAATGAATGGGGATCTGATGAATTTCCAGAGATGAATGAAAAACTATTAAAAATTTTAAATATTCACAAATAGGTTATATAATGTTTAATTAAAGATGTAATCACATTAAAAAGATAAAAAAATTGTGGGATATCAATTCTCTTTGTATATTGTAATTATCAATTTTTTTTATAGAAGATTATCGTTATGTTACAATCAAACCACCAGGCACTTAAAATTTGAAAATAGTTCTTAAGTTTTTATTTTATTAATTAAATCAATTTTTGTAAAAATGTGTATATTTTATGATTTTTTTAAATAAAACTTCATATTTAATAATTATATTATTATATACAAAATGTTCAAATTCAATTTCATAAATATATAGTAATTTAGATGCTTAGATGCTTTTTACCGAAGTTATTAACAATTTTTTTAAAATGACAAATTTTGGTTTAAATTTTAATGAAAAATTTTTTGATTTATTTTATATAAATATCTTGTATTTTCTCTTGAGTTGAAAAGTAACTCAAGTTGAGGTTTTAAGATAAATCAAGAGTTCAATAAAGGAATCATTAAATTCATTTACTATTGCCTTTTGTCATGTCTTCATATAGACATAATTGTGATATTGTCTTGTATTTAATTCAATGGATTGAATTAAAAGTTTATCGTTTAATTTTACAGATACCAAGCCAACACCATTCAATTTATGTGCGTTGTAAAGATAAATAAATCTCTTATCAATGTGTACAAAGATTTTACCTAACAATTTTACAATAAACTAACAATCAGTTCCGTCAATGAAGGATTCAATAAATCTAGAATAATAACTATAAAACTATTGAGCTCCTCCAACATTTTATATAAATCCATTATGCTAACTTGTGCATTAATAAACTTATTAAAAAATTAATTAATTTAAGTAAGTGATTACAACTTGCTAAGTAGCATTTATTATTGATGAACGAACTACATTTGCTTGAAGGAACATAATTCAGTATTTGCAACGATTATACTATTATTATCAACTATATCAATATATTCTAGAAAATATTATAAAAGGTCATTTTTAAAACTGATGATATAAAGTAAATTTCGATTTCATGATGCTTATGCAAATAATAATTTACAGCAACCAAATATTTGTTCAAGTTCAATAAATTTTAAAATTTGAGGAACTTCAAGAATTTTGCAGTTAGCCTATTGTGTTCGCAAATACATAAAAGATGAAATGAATTAGCCACTCCTTAAAAAAAAATGAAATATAATAGTTGATTTAATTAATTTTAAAGTACATACATACGCTGGTTTTTCAAATTATTTCATTCACACCACAAAATATTATGAAATACAAACGCTTCACATACAGTAATCATCACTTTTCATTTTTTTAAAAAAATAGTGATGATAATAAAACTTATTTAAGCATTCACTAATAGGTCTAGAATCAATTTTATCATCAACATTTTTATAAAAACTTGAAATGATTATAATTGGTTATACAATTCATCTACATATCGACTTAGAGAACAATCAATTTCTGGTCAAGTTCTAATTGAAATGTAAATCGTGAGAATTGGCAATTTCTGCATTGATCCGAGTCACAAAGTTCTTGATCTTTTTTAAGAAAGAATCGTATCTTATCTCTAGATAGAATTCCGCTTTGATTAATTGATTGAATCACGAAACACTAATTCATTGATCTTTTTTTACGAAATAATTGTATCGTATCGTTAACTCAATAGAATTTTGTATAAATAGACTTGTTTTGCTTTTGTTTTGAATAGTACAGTGGCGATCAAAAGTATTGCATCACCCGAATACAAAATTTTAAAATGGAAATATCTTGTAATTTAAAAGGCACAGTGTTACAAAACTTAAATATAGAGTTCGTCATACCTTAATC